CAGGCCTTCCGAAAAGCCGTCAAAACCTGACTGTGCCGGCAGGCCTGGGGGAGATGAGTTCCCCTCCCCTCTCGACCTGTGTGGTTGTGTGATTCTTGGCTATTTTAACTACTTGTATTGTGTTCTATGTTCCCCTTTCCCCTTTTGAGTTGTTCGCCGCCCTGAGCCCCTCCCGGAAAAGGGCGGCATATAAATAAAACTAATCTAACCTAATCTAAGGAGACATTCTTCAACTAAGGAGGAGCGTTAAGGTGTTTCGTTTCCCTCTGTTTCCCTAACCTTTCCGTCCCACCTCCCACCCACCCCCTCGCAGAACACGCAGCAGCCCTGTTGCAGAGGGCTTTCCTGGTGGGCATGTACGGGCAGATGGACACCAGCAGCCAAATCTCGGAAGCCTTGAAGATTCTGCACATGGAGGCCACGATATGAAGGGTGGAAGCAGCGGATCCGAAGAGGAACCTTGTCTAAGGTGGCTGGCCTCCTCTTCTCTCGAGAGGAGAAGAAATCTACGCAGGAGACCAAAATCCTCCTGCCGGAACATTTCCAATAGAAGAAGAGACTTGAATGATCCTGGGATTTATTCCGGGATCCTGGTTTGATTGGGAAGGAAAATGTTTCTCCATCCTCCTCTGTGCAGTACAAGCGAATCAGGAGGACTCGTTTTATTTGGAGCTACGCAGAGCTAAAAAAATAATAATAATTTAGGTGCACCCTAGAAGTCTTCCTGGGGATCACATTCCATCCCGTTGAACAGGGGTATCAAACCTTGGCAACTTTTTAAGACTTTTGGGCTCCAAACTCCCAGAATTCAGGGAATTGAAATCCAAACGTCTTAAAAGTTGCCAAGCTTGGCTGCAGAATGTCGAAAGCACCTCCTGAGGAAACGAATTCAGCTGTTTTTTCTTAGCCTTTTTAAAATCAAAACGTCGTGTTTCATGTTCTTTCCAAATATACAAATCTTCGTTTTGGGTTTCCCTTGTTTTTTTTTTTTGGGGGGGGGGTGTTGCTTCATCGCAGCCAAATAATACAGATATTCCTCAACTTCCTCAACCGCAGCANTCCCCCCTTCTTCTGCCTTTCCTGTTCCTCTCCTTTCTCCTCGGATGGAAGGTTTCTAACAAAATAGCCAAGTTCAGAGAATACCAAAGACCCCACAGTAGTTTCCCCCCTCCCCTTCCTCCTCCTCCTCCTCCTCCTCCTCCTCCCTGCAGCTGGGCAATGAAATGTCTGCAAGAAAACAACAAAACTCATAGACTCCCCAAACACCAACAGTTGTGGTCCTTCTCCTCCTCCTCCCCCTCCTCCTCCTCCTCCTCCTCCTCTCTGCAAACTTCCCTCCCTTCTAGCACTGATGATGTTCCCTAGTTGGGCCATGAAACATCTGCAAACAATCGAAGCATCGAACTCGGCACGAATGCTCGCTATACATGCCGTCCTTGGCAGTGCTCACCAGATGTTTCCCCCTCCCTTCCCTTTCTCTCCTCCTCAGACTCACTTGCAAAAACTGATGAACTCTGAAGAGGAGACTTGCCGGAATCTGGCTTTCAACCTGGCTCTACGCTCCATTCAGAATAATCCCAGGTACCAGGAGTACACCTGGAGGGGTGGGAGGAGCTAAGAGGAGGTCTGTGTGGCGGAAACCCCCCCAGAAAAGACCCCTAAACCCTACATCGTCTGGGTGGGCTGATCTAACAAAAGGTTACCCTTGATTCTTACCCTCCTCGGTTCTTTCTCTTTCTCTCCTCCTTTCCTTTTTTTTCCAAACCTGCAGCATCGCGGCTGATTTCCTGCCCACCTTCATGTACTGTCTCGGCAGCTGCGACTTCGAAGTCGTCCAGACCGCCCTGAGAAACCTGCCCGAATACACCCTCCTCTGCCAAGGTGAGCCCGACATTCCTCTGACCTGGTACCTACAGTGGTGACATCTACATTTCCACCACCACCACCCCACCGATTCTGTGTGCGTGGCTTGGTGGGGGAAGTGGTCATGTGACTGGGTGAGCATGGGCAACTTTAAAAGAGCCGAGGTGGCGCAGTGGTTAAATGCAGCACTGCAGGCTATTTCAGCTGACTGCTATCTGCAGTTCGGCTGTTCAAATCTCACCGGCTCANTCATGAACTTTCAACTGGGTGGGGAAAACCGGGAAGCTTTCAGATTTGGGTTTCCCCAGATGTGCCAACATGTCTCTCTTCATAAATTGGAACTTTGAGCAATGCTTTGTCTCGGACTCTGATTTAATTTTGGATGCTGTTTGGAACCCTGACACCTGGGCTGCTTCAGAGGCCTCACCTGTGCTCGGTTCTTCTTTTTCCTCCAGAGCTACCGGAAGTCTTCTCGCCACCTGGCCTGCTTCATCACCAAATTCGTGCAGTTCATTCACAAGTACATCACCTCCAACGCTCCGGCCGCCGTCTCCTTCCTGCAGAAGCACTCCGATCCCCTCCAGTAAGTCTCAGACCATGTCTTGGCCCCCCAGTTGGGCGCTGATGGCCGAGCACAAGAGCCGGGTCGGTGTTTTCACGGCCTCCGCGCTCACCTATGGCTTCTCTGCAGCGACCTGTCCTCGGACAGCAATGACCTGGCGATGCTGAAATCTCTTCTGGCTGGTCTCAGCTTGCCCAGTCGGGCTGGTGCTTCGGATCGCGGAGCTGAGGATGAAAAGAACGGTGAGTCTCTTTGCTGGCAGATGGTTGGGGCGTGAATCCCCTCATTGGTGCCTAAAGCAGGTAACTCCGGTGGATTTGCCAGGGGAGCTTTTAAATAATCGTTTGTGAACAATTCAGATCCCTCAACAGAACAGTGGAGCGGAAGTTAGTTGCTCTGGAAAGTACGTAGCACCAGCGAGATACCACTTAGTCTTATATGCCACTTCACAGTTCTTTGCAGCCCTCTCGAAGCGGTTTACAAAGTCAGCCTCTTGCCTCCAACAATACAGCTCCTCATTTTACCAACCTTGGAAGACTGGAAGGCTGAGTCAACCTTCAGCCGGTCAGGATCGAACTGCTGGCAGTCAGCAGAGTCGGCCTGCAATAGGAACAGCACTGTAAAATGACAATGTCTACTGCATAGAGAGAAAATTTGCATAAGATGTTTTACAGGTGGCATCTACCCCCCCAACGAGAATTGCAAGAATGTCCAAAGAATAAATCAGAAAAATGTTAGAAATGTCATCAGATACCGGGGCTCAAATTACCACATGTGGTGGACTTGCATTAAAGCTAAAAGATACTGGACTAAAATCCACATCTGGTTGGAGGAAATGATACATAAACACGTAGACTTTAAACCAGAGGTCTTTTTATTGGGGAATTATACCAGAAATCTATAACAAAGACTTAAAATATTTTGATTGTAAATGTGTTACCAGCAGCCAGAATCGTATTTGCAAAAAACAGGAATAGCGCTTGACTTATACACCGTTGTCTGGTTTTCAGATGAGGCGGCAGCCGGATCTTTGCCCCTGGTCAGCGTCTCCCTCTTCACGCCACTCACCCCCGCTGAGATGGCCCCCTACATGAAGAGCCTATCCAGGGGTCAGAACGTCGAGGGTAAGTCAAAGCCAGCCCCCCCCCCCCCTGAGACCCTTGGAAATTGTGCACCCAGAAAGTCTTCGTCTTTGGGGTATCCTGCAAGCCCCCTTAAGTGTTGTGTTTTTCAACCTTGGCTGCTTTAAGAGGGGTGGGCTTCAACTCCCAGAATTCCCCTGCCAGCTGGGAATCCTGGGAGTTAAAGTCCTCCCCTCTTAAAGCAGCCACGGTTGAAGAACACTGCCTCGATGTAGGCTGTCTACAGCCAATAAAAGCTGCCCACGTGTGGGGCAGCCCCATGGTGAAACGGCACTTTTTTTGAGTATCAGAAAGAGGTCTATGAATCCACAGCTGCCACCTTCCAGCTCCTTATTTTTAATTGGTTTTAAATTGTTCCCTCCTTCTCTCTACGAGACCGTCTTCTGCAACATACCTCCCAGCGTCCGATAAGATCNCCCAGATGTGCCAACGTGGCTCTCTTCATAAATTGGAACTTTGAGGAATGCTTTGCCTTGGACTCTGATTTACTTTCGGATGCTATTTGGAACCCTGATAGTGGGATTTTGGGAGGACATCCAGACACCAAACTGGAAACCCGCCTGGAAACTTCTCAAATGTCACCATTAGTTGCCAAACCATTTTCCTAGTGGGAAAATTACGTTGTTCTGGGGTTGGTCTATTAGCAGCGGGCTCAAATCTCCTGCTTTAAGGTGGCTTTGCGATGGTGCAGCCCATCAAGTCAGGATCATCTGATTATTCAGGCATCCCCCAAACTCCTGTGGTTGAAAATGCCCAGCATGTCCTAACTAACATCCTGTTTTGAAAGCTTATGCAATGTCCATAAACGTCGGCGTTAAGAAACAGCAGGGCGCCATCTATTGGACGTTTTGCTTAGTGGCTGAAAGAGAAAATCCAAATAGACTCCCCCCGGACTGAGTTTGCTTGGAAGCTAAGCAGGGCCAGGCTGAGATTTTTGTGGGGCGGGAGACCCCCCAGGGGTCCCTCGGGCTGTAGACTTCGCGGAGCAGCTGAAAACATGTCCTAGAACAAGGCTCTCCAACCTCGGCTGACTTCAACTACCAGAATTTCCCAGCCAGCCAAGCTGGGGGGGATTCTGGGAGTTGAAGTCCGCCAGCCTTAAAGTTGCCAAGGTTGGAGAGCCCTGTCCTAGAAGGCAAGGGAAGGATTCCTCCCACAAATCATAAGCAATTAACCATGATTGAAAAAAGGCACGGCTGCAGATGCCTTATAGACGAGGCTTATAAACAAAGCCGGATTTCATCCTCTGCATTTAAAGAAATCCCGTTTTATTTTTTCCTCTCTGGACCCTCAAGATGGGAGCTTCCAAATGTTTAACCTCGCATGGATGGCTTCTTTTATCAGTCCTTGCAGGGATCTGCCAAGAAAAGCCTAGAACCATGATGGCAAACCTATGCCATGCCTAGCTCTGTGGGCACGCTCACTGTCGCTAACTGCTCCTCTGGTTTCCAGCAATGGACAGCTGGTCTTCACGCATGCCAGAGCACTGGAAACCTGCAGCTCAGCGGGTTTCCGATGCGCCAGCGTGGGTGTGTGCATGCGAGCATGTTCGCACATGCGTTCTGATTTGGGCACTCAGTGCTCAAAAGATTCGCCATCGTTGGCCTAGAATGTAAAGCTATACTGATAAAAGGCCATATTTGTCACTTCGGGGGGAAGGGCGGGGTTCCTGGGGCTTCCTTAAGTCGGTTTGTTTTCTTGCAGGCGTTCCACGACCCAGCTAGGCAACATTGTTGTGACTCAGCAGAAGTTTGCTGTGATTTGAGTCGGGATGCAGGAATAACAGTGCAGCTGGGGCCCATTAGTGTGGTCTTCTGGAGATAAAAGGACCGATGGTGTCACAGCCTGGTTGCAGAAGTCAACGTTCGTCGTTCGTGCATGGTTCATTGTTCATCGGTCGTATTGTTTGTTTGTGAGAGGCACTTGGATAAGTGATTTGCTTTCTGTAACCCTGATTCAAAGAGACCCTAGGAGAAGTGATTTGTTTTCT